TTAATGTATTTAATTGGTCCGATTTACTATAGTTCTTAGGTAGGTTCTTACGTAGGTACTGGTTCTTTTCCTTAGAACCGGTAGTTTACAAATTTGATATCGTTGGTGTTGCACCTTATTTATTAGAGCCGTCCGTATTCAATTTAAGTGATGTCTTAACTCTGTATAAGTTTTGCTTTTTCTGTCTGGATTCCAAATCTTAGCTTCCGGTATGCTAAGAAAATGATAACCTATTTGAGTAAAACATTTGTTGGGCAAACCATCATGAATTGTTTACGCCTTTATATTGTTTATGTATCAATAGTTCGTGGCCTTTGTTGGATTGTTGTATTGTGTTGTTTTGTTGTACCTATGTTGGTAACGCATTAATGTCCTTATTTCTCAGTGTTTCACGGAATGGACAAGAGCACCTTTGATACCGAAAATGTCAACCGGAATAAAGTGTTAAATGGTGAGGTTGAGGTAGTACTTTAAATACGTTTAAGTTAACCGATGTGGAAAGTAACTTTCAATTATAGGCCTACTTTAGGGCTACGCTTCATGGATCAATAAAACATTTTTTAGTTTAATCATTGGACATATGGACCAACACGATCCGGGTGACATTTAATTGCGAAGCATTTATTTTGGCTTGAACTGTCAGATACTGTATTTGCGAAGGTTTATATATAATAGTTTTGCCAGCATATCTGTAAATGTGCAAACTAATTGCTGTTCTTAATCTTAATATAAGTAGGTTTCAACTGACTACTATAAGATCCCCGTGCGTAGAACGGGCACACAGCTAGTTATATAATATTTCCACAACCTTTTAGAATTATTCTGAAGTAATGTTACACATAGTTGTTGACTAAAGACGTTCTCTTATGTAAAAGACAATAAAAAACCCATTACTACCAGCGACAAAACAGTTTTTGTCTACGTTTCTACCAACGATGTAATGGTTTCTACTAAATAGATTAATAGTTCAGCACCGATTGGGCGTCCTACGGGCAAGTGTGACAACCTTTCCAGCTAGTAACTGGACTATCAATTCTGTACGTCTTTAACAAGATAGTAGTAGCTGAGATGGTTTAAGACAATAATTGTAATTAAAAAAATAAATCTATTGCAGCCCCATTGCTGTCTAAATACTAGGTAATTAGTGGTTTAGTGAACTGCACTCATCAAATATTTCTAATTATTTTTTTTTCTTAGTTTTTTGTGCTAACTTTTATTTTGCGTATTCAAAACTGTTAAAATATTACATGTCTACTAGTGTAAGATACAGCAAGTTGTAGGTACAATATTATCCACAGAGACATAACACACAAGAATACTTGTATAATATTCCCACTTAAAAGTTGAGCAAGGCAATCTGCGTTGGAGTTGAGTTTTAATAAACCCAGAATGTTGTTAGTCTAACTGCAAGCGTAGGTTTGATCTGTATAACACTTACGGGAATAAGTAAAGTGGATATACTTGTATGATATAAGCGATGTTATCTAAATTTGATATCATAAAATATCTAAGTTATTAAGAGATGTAAAGTTTACGTCATAATATAAAACTTGACATAATAAAACCCCAACTTTAAACAATGAACTAATGTCTAGTTTTAATTATTGCATGAGAGTTAGTAAATAAATCTACTACTCACATATTATAAAACATATAAAATTGTCTGAAAAAATTATAACTGGAGAATTCAAAGGTTTATTTAGTTAATAAGTTTTAAATTAAATCTTGGTTTACCAAGATTGCATTGATTAAAAAAACATCAATAAATTCATATTTAAAAACATGCTAATACAGGTATGATATAAAAATAAAAAAAGATAGAATTTGTCTAGTAAAGATTTGTTGGTATCTAGTCACTATTTGATCGCAATATTGATTTATCAGTAATATAAAGTTGTGTTTAGACATTATCAGTTAAATTATGACAAAGTCTTATCTAGGGATTTGAAGTTTTTATTTCCATAAACATAAAACATAAATTATGTGTAAAATAAGTATGCTCATATTATATTATCAATGCTTGGTTTGAACAGTATGAAAAAAACTTTTAACTTGACATAATTCAATAAAAAATACTCAGTTTGCAGAGAGTACTTTTTCTATTCAAAAATCTTGACTTTTCCCTTGATTTACATTCTAGAATCTTTGACCGATTTAAAACAAAACTTTGCTGATTTTGACTTCTTTACTCAAATCAATACACATTGCGCAATTCATTTAACTTACCAATTCCTAAACACGAATTATTTTCAAAAAACACACATTGTTAAATTGGCATAAAGCTTTTCAACTCACTATCATTTTACCTCTAGTTAGAACCAAGCCTTACAAATTTTTAAAATCAGTTAAAACATAAATTGCTAAGTATAACCTGTTACAGCGTCCAAGAATTCAAAAAATGTTTTGAAAGCTCTATTATGTAATTGTTGTAAATATTAGAATTAGTAATTGATGTTAAGTATAGTATTTTTGTACTGTTGTGACATGGCTAAAGCAAACTGTATTATTGTTACTTTGGCCCAATAACATGATTCGATTTGAACTTGCAATTATATTACGTATTGAATGCCTAAATGCTGATTGGAATGCAATTTACTATGCACACTTCAACGCTGATAATACCTTAGGAATTCGAGCAACGTTGATGTTTGACGAAAATATTTGTACTTAAAATACTTGTTTTACAACCAATTTGTTAACAACGAGGGTCCCATGCGCAAATGTCACATTTTAATAAGGTTAACACTCAATTTTGAAATTAAATATACTTTTACCATTAAAATAATACTTAATAACTGAACATATTAAAGTTATAAGAAAATTTCAACACAATTTATTAAATTAAAAACTAATAATTTAAATATTAGCCTCTTTACAGGTATATACCTTCCTTTTAAAATTATTAATAAAAAAAATTATTTATTAAAATAGGTGATTCTTACAGTCAGTAGTGTTTTATGAAATCTATTCTTATTCAAGCCCCAACTGTATTAATTATAGTTATAAAATACAATTTTAATTGTATTATTCTTCAATAGCTAAGACTTTCGATCTTAGTTATTTCAGCTTACAACAAATATCTAAATATAACTTAACAATAATAGAAAAATGTGTATGTTGCATTATCAAAACATGACCGTATCGCATGTCGATGGTAAAGTAAGCCGTAACTATATCCGATTATACTTGTAATAGATGACACGATGCGACACTTAGACACAATGGTAATTACATGATGGGGATGATATTGAAGCAATAACCATAAATCACTGACTGAAGCCATTGCACCACTCCACTCTGCTGGCTAAAACACTCTAAATGTTTTTTGGTCAGCCGTATTTGTTTAATGGATATACGCAGACATATTGGTATATATGGACGATTTGGAAAATAGTTTATCGTTTAAATGCTGTATTAATAGATTTTTTTGGTATTTAGTCAACGTTTTTTTTTTCCATACAGAGCTTTTGTTTATCAATAAGCTGTAAAATAAAACTATTGTTATTATGTGGTAAAAGGTCATAAAGAATTAGACTAACTGATAAACGATTCTTTTGAACATAATGTGATACTGTATATATAGCTTACAAAATATAACATTCATATGTTTAGGCAATAAATTATGAATAATTTTGCGCTTTATTTAGCAAAATATAAATATGGTACGATTCTCAATAATTTAGTTGTTCGTTAATTAAGTTATACTGTTACTGGTTGTTTGTAATAAAATATGAACTTATCTTAGAGTGAATCTAACACTACCAAAAGAGTAACATTATAATACTTAGCAAATAACTCAACGTTTACAGCTTAAATATTTTATTTAATTGTTACATATTCGACTAGTTATTTGAACTGCTTTCGAAACATCGATATCAATATTCACTGAATATTAACATAACATTTATGTATTGTTTAGTGACCATCGAGTAAAATGTATGTTTTATCTTTATAAATATTTTTACATAGTGGTAGTATAGTGAGACTGGATAAGAATAGAATCTACCATATGAACGAAGAGTCATTTATTATTTTTATTTCTCGTCTAAAACTTTAAACAATATCTAGGTTTATATTTTACAACCGTTATCTTCATACTTTATTAAAAAATCTGTTTCGTAACATTATGCTGAATAGTTTATCACTAGTAAAATACTGTTAGTACTAGTTGATGTATTTACAAAGTAGTATTAACAGGGTGTGTTCTGTTCTGTGTCTTTTGTGTACTGTTGTTTTTTATTTTGACTTGGAATTACATGAAAACTAAAATATTCTAATAAGTATTATTTATTATGTTACAGTTTTTATAGGCATCTAACACGTGGAGTTAAAGTGTACACAAGAGGGTTATAACTACAGAGGCACGTTTTCATATAAGTGTTACGTGTTATTTCAGTTCGCTGCTGCCTCGATACGTAAGAAAAAGGTACTAAATGTCAAAAATATCAACAATCAATATTAGTTGTATGGTTGGCTATGGAAAACCTTTCACATAATGTTTAAAATTGGTTACTCCTGGATTTGTTAACTAATATAGTTTTCAATGGAAATATTTTCTTAATTTACTCTCAAAGTAATTACTGCAAACTTAATCATTTTAAAACTGTAGTTTATCTAGCAGATTTTAACACGTAAAATTTGTAATAGTTAGTTAAACCGAAATCAAAACATAATCTTTAATTAGACAAATTGACATTTACACCCAAACCAACTACCACAAGACTGTCCCGTAAAGAGGATTTGAGCAATAATGTAAACATTTTAATATAGGAACGATATGACACAAAATAAAACAAACAAAAATTCAACCAAAAGCTGATTAAATTATTTTTTTCTTTAAGTCAACCGCTTTTTGTTTCTGATTTCGCAAATCTATCATTACTAAATCCATATAATATTTGAATATGGGGATAGCGTTCCATGGAATGTCAGATTATTATTAAATGTTAACTGTGTTTAATATACATGAAATTAAAATATGAAAATAATAGTTGTTTTACCTTTGAGAAAAGCTAGCGCGTTGCAGGTGACTGCGCAAGTCAACAATGTTAGAATCAAATCCATCCTTGGAGACCGAGCTTGGCTCACACTGCACTATAGGTGCTTCACTATCTGAAAAAATAAACATGTTATCGTTAAAACATTATAAACTATGTTGATCAATCATGTTGTAATATGAGCGAACCCTGCAGGATTAAAATGTCCAGTTCCATTTCTAGGAGTTCCGTTTATTTATGGTGTGCACTCTAAATAACATATTTATGATTTTACATAAATTTAAGGGATCACTATCATAGAAGCCAGATTATTTTTAAATGTGAAATTCGTTTACTTACTAAGCTATTGTAATATAAAAACATACGTCTCTTTTACAAATATATAGTGAGTATGCCGACATTTAGTCATTAGCCTATGTTTAGGTATGAATTTCTTTAGAAATATCCCTAATGAGTTAATCTTAATTAAATTAGATTAATAATAGATTATTAATAACTTATTAAAAGATTATTAATCTTTGGTGGTTGTATGAACAAAAGTATTAATGGCACGGAAAATTTAATGTAATCACTCAAACGTACTTCATCATTCATCTTTGATCGATAGATTTTGTTGTTATTCATCGTAAACTAGAACATTATCTCTTTTGGGAACGTTATATAAATAATATTTATTTTGAATTGACTTTAATTTGAAATCAAATTCGGCGGTGTTTATCAAAAATATTGTTATAATAATAAAAAAACAAATGGAGAACATTATGTACATAATCTCATATGATACTTGTTATACTGAAACACACAAAAGAAAACCACTCTTCAATACCCTTTGTTAATACCATCCTAAATAAAAAACCGCTTAGCTAAAACCTGCTTTAAATAACGCTTGAAATACGTTGAATTCAAATGTTTCGGATTTCAAATCATTATTCACGATCGAATGATCCACCGTTCTATCGGAAAACCGAAACAAACGCGTAAGGGTCATTTTAATACAATTCTTTTCATCCTACGCGACGTTTTCTATACGTTGGAAGTAGTTAAGGGGTGGTTCGGAGGGGGGCAGGTACAATTACAAACAAAGGCTCTTTTCGCATGCTGGTTTTAATTTTCCATCGTCGACCCAAACAACAGGCCTGCGGTATCTTTTGTAATGTCTATACGTAGATTGGCGAGGTTCCTTTATTGCGGAGACCCATTCCGTATTTAATTGCTCTGTTTCGGATTTGTTTGTGACGATGAATGCTTGCGAGGGAAAAGACCGTAAATCTGTTTGAGTAAAGTTTGTTCAGGGCGGGTGGTCACTGAGCTCTATTAGACAATGTTATCTAGGGTTTACATTGACATGCAGCTTTTATTCGAAGGATAAATCACGATGATCGAGCGGAAAGTTGGCTAACTTTTTATTGGTTTGAAGCGTGTTGTTGGCTTATCATTTGCCTTCTGGTGTTTATGTTTTTCTTTCACTAACAATATCAATTCCTTCTATAACGAAATAGAATACTTATAATACTGTGTAAGGACAAAAATCTGCCCTTGCTTAAATTAACATGCATATGATATTTAAGGGTTAAAATGTACTAAGGTTTGGTATTCTTAGTTGATAACCCTATTGCTTTACATATTTTTCATTCGTGGTTTTTTTAATGCTCATGAAACTGAATGAATATGTTCTCGTATATAGGAAATACAGGCCTACCACTCACATTGTAAAAACTAATACCACTATTATTTTACATACAAAGTCATGTCTTGTAGCTATTAATGAAATGCAAACATCCAGCAAACGTTTGTGTGATGACTGATACAATTTCTCATTTACTCTTCAAACTAATTATTGCTACAGACAAACAAGCATGCCTTGTCGCCTCACCATTTGTATACATTTGGAATTACATCGTGCAAAACATTATATACTATTGTTTTAATGAATACAAATTATCAAACATTTAAACCACACATTATCACTCAATCTTTAAGTAAAAGAACATAAGACATTATGGATATAATATTGCAGATTGGTAATCATATTATTTGATTAAATTAATAATTCTTGTCTGTTAAGTTTAAAAATGAAACCCATTTTAAGCTATATATTATTTTTTGCGTCATTAGCTTATTTTATTTAATAAATTATAATTTATATGTGTTTGTCAATAACTAAAAATATAATATCTGTTTGTTATGATATGTTATAATCTTTTTAAAGACTTAATAATTCCCCCCTTGTGACATATTGATATAGTATTTTGCCCTCAAAATTATTTAATATACATATATTTTGATATTTCAACAGAATTTAGTAATTGCAACCTAAAATATCACCTCAACAGTGTGAAATTATTCTATTCAACTTTTACACCGACAGTTTGATAACGGTTTCACAAGAGCTCTCGTTAGGCCAACCCTGTTTATTCTTTTGTAAATTAAGTCCTTTCAGTTCACTAAATAAATAAAACTTGACAGAATTTGTCAAAAACATGTCCGGTGTGACGTAGCGTTCAATCAGTGACGCGAAGATTCTGTTTACAAAATCTGCTTTTGAAGATTTCCCCAGCGCGGGGGATTAAAACACAAAGCGCCATTCCATTGGGAAATTCAAATCATCGACACAACCGTGCAATTGTACGCCTCTCTGGATTTGGTTTAAAAACAGCGACTTTAATGAGGTGAAAAATTCCAGTGAAAATTAGCAGCGAAAAACTGAAATATACTGGTTTAATTAGTATTTTGTATAGCTTGGAGTTCAATTTGTGCTTCAGTGAAGTATTTGTATGTTTTCAAACACTATCCGTATTAAATGCGAGCAATATTTAAAAAATCAATGGAGTTAATAAAATTACAATTACCTTACCAATTCTTTAAAATTGCATATCGATTAATGGTTTTTGGTTAGAAAGGTAAGTAAAATAAGTATTATTAGTTCCCAAAAATACCAAGATGAATTCCATTCCAAAGATAAAAAAAATAAAAGAGTAGGCTTGAATTACCTTTTCACCTCTAGTGGTCAAAGCGTATTTATAACTTACACAAATTATTTTTATTACAAATATAGGTATCCCAAAAAGGGTGTTATGTTTGAATTAAAATGCCAAAACCAAAGAACACTTTACAAAATTAAAAATTTATAGCTGCAATTATCACATTTAATTATCCTTTATTCCCACATAATTTTGACCATTTTAAACAAAACAGTGGAACCTCAAAATCATTGTACGTTTTCGTTTAAACCATTTTTTTAAAATGAATTTGTATTAGTTTTTAATATTTAAATAATGTTACTCAGGGAAACAAAATTAAAGTTGTTTGAGCTATAGGCTATTGGTAAATTTTAAATTATATTATTTGATTCTTATCCCTTTGATCAAACTTGGGTCTATATATCGGTGTGCATATTTTTTAATCGCACGAGCAAATGTTTTTGGTAATTTATTTTGTTCTTATTTCGTTACTCCGTCATTTATTTTGATCTTATCTAATAAACATGTAAGGTATTACAACTGTAGAATATCGAGATTTTACTTCGTCCATTCTTTTGGAATATTAAAATAACAACAGCAATCTCTTCGCGACACACCTTGTATACTGTGACATAAAGTTGGTAAAACGTTTTCAATATTTCAAATTCCAAATATGTAATAAGCCATAAAACTAGTAATTAAAACTCCAAAATATATATTTAAACAATATTACATTACTTAAAAAGGGAAATACACCACAACTCCGAGTACTTTTATAAAAGAGAAATCGTTTGGGTCGAAAAGTTTATCTTTATCAAGAAGAAAGGTAAAATTACAAGAAATTAATCCTAACAACATTCAAGAGAAGAGTTTTCTCATATTGGATTAAGCTTTTATGCAGCCGCAAGGGTAAACTCCAAAACTTTTCTCCAACTTCATGATATTATAATTTAACAAGCAGCAATATAAATATAGCGTTCAAACCCTAATACTAACTATTATTTTACCTATTTTATGTTTTAAGGTTGAGTTATGCATAAGTTGATTTAACAATCGTAACAGTATTATTTTTAGACGTTTCTATTGTAATAATAGGAGTATTCTCCTCCAAATTTGGAACATTACAATACCATAAAATGTTATTAAATTGATTAGAAATGTTTATGGTTTAGCAATCAAAAATTAGCTTCCACTTATGAGCCATATGTTAGTATATTTGTTATATAAATTATATGTATTTGAAATATATAACTCAAAATACATAAATAAATTTACTATAACTGAGTATAAAAATAAATGCGTCGACGTTATAAAAAATTAAGATGAAATCGTTTTAAATTGAAATTTAAAGAACTGCTAAGTTATTTTCAATGTTTTGAGTAGTACTGTATGAGTTTGAAAAAGAACTTCAGGCTCCAAGAAACTTACAATCGATTTCAGTCAGTGATAAAATAAAAACTTTATAGGCCTATAACATTATCTTTTTAGTTCCATGCAATATTTCTATTCTTTTTTTGTTTCGGACTAAGCCATATTGTGAGTTGAAGAACATTCATTGTGCTTTATAGAGGAAACGATTTAGATTCAAACATATTAATTTAACTTATACATGGGAATACTAGTAAACTTACGGACAGCAATATTATTGATGTAAAAGTTACCATCTAAAAAAGTTTATTAACTTGATCTAAACGACATTTAAAAAAATAATCATACTTGAGTATAATTTTAACTAATTTTATTAACAACAATGAAAGTAGATAAACAAATATTGAATGCATTAAATAAGTAGCATAAGTAGCAATAAGTAGTCAGTAGTTTCAAAGCACTTAATTATGTTTATGAAATCCTTGTAGATTACTTTATTTTTAACTACCTATATCGTCCTATAAAAAGGGCATACAGTAACATTAACCTACCTCTAGTATATGGCGGGATCAATATAGTTATAAAGTACCAAATGGTGTAAAACTCTAAGAATAACTTGTATAATAAACCTTGTTTATGGCACCGTACGTAACGCTAAGCCTTGCAGGTGCACGGACCACCGGGATCCTTTGTTTACCAACTTACAACAATAACTGTAATAATCAATTTTAAAACTACCTGAATCGGGATTACAATCTGCAATCAAGGTACCACGATTGAGGCTATTCTTTTAGTATTAACTGTGTTATTTATTTATTCTTGCAGATACTTTCCTACAATAAATAACACATACTAAAGATGAAAAAGTAGTTACAAATGACACAATTAACATAATTGTATTCTATTTTGGCACAATGCACATTGCACTACATCATTATCCATACTTTAAAACACTCACCAAAGTGTGTATTTTAAGCTGAATATGTGACGTTAGTTTAGCCTCTATTGGATTTATTCGTTATTTTATTGCTGACTGAAATCAGCTGTTAATTTAGCGAGGGTCGTTAATTGTAAGCCATTGATCATGAGCAGCTGGGCCCATTTTTGAACGATCGAAAAGCTACTAAATTTTCTCAATATTGGACCACCAACCTTTTTATTGTTAGACAACCACTATAACCACACTGATTCCCAGCTAGTTAAATAATAAAAACGTTTACTCTAATGGACCAAAGCGGTTACTTAATAGTGGGATACTCGATAAAATTAAAACTTTGTATTCCTAATACAGCACTATCATGTATATTTACCTCATAACTTCAGCTTGTATAGTACCTCTTTTATTAACTTGTATACATCCTGTAAAATCCCTTAAAACAATATGTTTCTTACACTCCACATGTATATTTTTTTTTCTATTCTACTACTATCTGTTAAATGTATTACTTTTACCATCACATTACAATCAAAGATCCAATTAACAATCTTACAATCTAAGTCATAAGTTACGACATTGAAGTATACACAATACATGACAAAGAAACAACAATGGATTCATCGTACACACAACACACTGTCAGTGTCGTGATACGAACCTGTGACGTAGCTGAGGACGTTGAGTACATGATGACGTCACACTCAGCACATCCCCATGTGACACACACACGTCACTGTATTGTTAGCAGCGTCGCGACGCACTCCGCACACCGGCCCGGCACTGTCTGACGCCGCGGCGCTGCTGCTCAACCCCCGCGCAGATCCCGCCCCTCGCCCACCCCTAATTAATCGTCTTTGTCCGCTCTTTTGCCCCCGCCACTACATTGCTCACGCCGTCACTTGTAATCGTCGCCCTTGTATCTTGTCGAGGGGTGAGAATTAGTTTAGGATGGGTCTTGACGTGTAATTAAAGATTGGGGTACGTGTGCGTGTAATAGAAGATTCGTTAGAGCGTTAAGAGTAGCTTAAAATGTGAATGTAAGTTTTTTGGAGCGTTGGACGATTTATTCAGATAAAATAGCTGACCAGGAATGTTTATTTATTGTAACTGCGGTTGAATTAGATGCTCTAAACTAGTAAACTAGTTGTACGGCAGTAGTACGTAAACTTTGACCTAAAAGTTCATCTGTCTAAGTGAGACAGGACAGTTAGTACTTAAAAACCTGATGATTTGTGTGAGAATGCATGGTAATAAGCTTCAAGAAACAGGACATGGAGTTGCACAATTTCATTACACTATAAAAACATAAAAACTGTCATACTTTGTGTCATAAACGTTACATCCTAACAGTGAATAAACATTTAATTACACAAACAGAAGTTATGAATACCCTAAACTATATATTGTAATCCATAATTCAATTCTTTTAAAAAAAACTGTATCCAGTTTGAGCATAAAACTTAATGTTCTTAATTTATTTATTCATTACTTTTCATATTTGGATGCAAAGGGTACGTTTTTAAAATAATGCATTTCCTCGCAACATATTTCCAATATTACAACTGACAGTTATATTTTTACTTAAAGATTACTAGTTTCAATTCATCAAATAATGCTTGTGGAGTTCTCTTTTAACGAATTGGTGCTCTAATACATCATTGGTAATTTTTCTGTGAAATAGCAATGATTAATGTGAATCAACAGTGTCAAATTACGATTAAGATGATTATGCTTCTATTACCGTTAAAGTTCGGAAATGAATAAACAACAGTTTATGAAAGTAATGAGAGAGATGTAGGCTGACACGACACTAACAAAACAGCGATGTTTACGTATAATTACTATTGAGGGTTATTTACCTAGTGAATGAATTGAGCAATACAATCGCATGTAATAAACACAAGATAAACGAACGAAAACATTTGCATTCAAATAAAACAATTATAAAGTTTGTAAATTACTTCCGATGCTCACATAATTAATACGCTTTAAACACAGTAATGACGGATAGTAATTTTCTGTTTTGAACGTATGTTTTTCCGCCGACTGTTTTCACAAATTCTGACATTTTGCGCTTTGAGTAAGATGACATTTTGTAGTTTTTAGAATTTTGTAACCTATGAACGTTCTGTTGGGTAATTGGAAAATCCTCGTTGTGGTAGAAACTTATATTATAATTATTCAGGTTTTACTTTCAATTTTTGCATTCACGGAAAAGTGGACAGAGGTGGAAATGAGGACTAAATGTAAAACATAATGTACAAAAAAAATACTATAACAGCCTGATCGAAGAAAATGTTGTAACGTAATCTTTATTCTCTATATCCTTTATAAAACACAGTATACACACCTATATTAGATCACATTTGGTCTTAAACTATTGGTATGATGATGTTAAAAAGATGGTTATCGGCCCTTCATTAACAGCAATTTTATTTTATTTTATTTGAAAAACAGAATATATTTTCGCCATTTTATTAATGCCTCCAAAATGGTAGCTAGGATTGCGGATATTTTTTATAAAGATGGATAAAAAACTATTTTTTACAATTTATTGCGCATTGTGTTGGAAAATGTCTGCAATAAATTCCCAATCATCCTTCAGTCCACAATGACCGAAAATAAACTTCAAAGAAAAACATCTCAACTAATGTTCTTAAAAATATGTTAGAAAGAGGATTGATACATTGAGGCTACAAAAAAAAAATCGTGGCTGACAATTCGACGAACGACTTTCCACATCGAGTTTTCCTCACAGCCCTATGTGTGTGGCCTAAACGAGGCTTTGAGGGGTTTCTGGATATTCGTCATAAGCTCTAGCAGTAAATGGCTTTTGCACCAGATAAAGGTAATTTTTCACATTATCCTTCAAGGTCAACACTTTTTTAGTGTTTTACAAACTTAATTGTTTGTTCCTGTATAATTATAATATAACTTTTTGTACCATTTTACATTCATTCATAAGGGCTTTTTAGGTGTTTCAATCGTGATCCTTTATAAACATTGTAGTTAAACAGATTTTGTTTCTATTTAATGTTAAAAATGCTAAGTTATACGACACCAATTGCAATGTTTTTCGAAAACAGCTGATCTAGACATTGTTTAACGAATGAACGAAAAACACATTCCTTGCAGTAAATACTGTAGCTTTTAAAAACATTAACCAAATTCAGAATCGGTATTTCTAGCTATTGTTTGTTTGAGGCAAACACAATTCCGTGTCAGATGTAACAAAGGAACAATACACTTCATATCTGATCAGTGCTTAACACATGTGTGAATGAAGTGTTAGGATTAGCAAGCAATGCATTTACTTAATTACAATTCTATTGTGTTAGAATGCGGCTGTGTAACTTGTGATCTAGGATATTATCGTACAATTTACATATTGTATTTTGTTAAGCCAATATGTGAAAATATATTTAAAATAGCTACGGTTTACAACTTTTTATCGTTGAATGGACCTAGCAAGGGCCTAAGCCCTAATTACACAAACAGAAGTTATGAATACCCTAAACTATATATTACTTATTGTACTTATTTTTTTGTACGTGCATGTTGTATTTATGATGAGCACAAATGAAGACAACGATTTACAAAAAAAAGTATTAAAAAAAATTATTAGATTTGTTCAGGGTGATTCATAATATTAAATATCCAGACTTCGGGAAATGGATATATGGGTCAAATTAAAGTTACAGTGACAAATAACTAAACTATCAAGATTTACCATAGTAAAATAAGTAAAAATGAGGTTCACCCTCACTAACATAGCCTATTTTGCCTTATTTTACAACACGAAATCGTGATATTTGAGCTATTTATTTTTCGATTCTTTTAAACTTTGTGTCGTTTGATAAAAGAAACTTAAATGCTGATTAAAACTATTCTTGAAACATCTCATAAAATAAGATATATCTTAGTAATTTAAGCTATAAACACTAAATTGGTGGCCTTTAAATAGTTTAAAATTATACATAAGGGCAGCTAAACTCAAAGATAATAATGTATATGTAAAAAGTATAAAATGTTGCATATATGGTTAACGGAGCGTTTTTTAAATATTTTTTTCTATACCCATAGAACTACTTCTCGGAGTTTTGCGGTTTACTCACGCGTCACGCTATATGATTTTTGGGGATTTAGTATTTACACTTGTTTTTTTATTTACATTTCATTAGTACGCCGATTTTTCCAATACTGCAATAAATACTCGCAAATAAAAAGCGGAATCGGACTTGGACAAACGGTTTATAAGTTATCCTCAACTAATCACTGTTATAATTGGTATTGGAGCAAATGTTTTGGAAGGAGTCGTGGAAACTATGTTTCTTTTCAAGAAGTTATTTCCAAGAGCAAACCAATTTTCTCAGCTTCCATAGCTCATTTTGCAGTTTTCCTTCTCACTAAAATAAATTGGTAAAATAACAGTTTTACATACGAACAGAAAATGTAATATTTAATGGTGTGTAGATGGATAGTTTACATATACAATAAGCACAAAACCATTCTTAAATTTGCAAACTTGCGTAGTTAAGGTGTTAAATTAAGAGTAGAATAAATAGACCATACTTGCGTCACTGTCAAAAATCAACTGATTTATTAGTCAACATTTCATTATTCAGATATTATAAAATATCGGGCAAGTTTTAGAACTTGGAGAAAGATTATATTTATGGTTAAAAGGTTGTATATAACACTAAATTTTAACTATAAGTTACAAAAATATTATATTTTTACATTCGTTTTTGTTTCCTCATTTTCATTGTGTCCATTAACACGTAATGCATTTATTTTAGAGATGATACTAACATACTGTCTCACAAGTTCCTAATCTTGGTTACAATAAAAAAGCGCAAATATTCTTAACATTTAAATAGAGAAACATTAAATCAAATGTTTCATTTATAAAATAAATCTCCACTCAGAGTTGCAAGGTACAAATGAAGGTTCTGAGGCCACAAATCAGTCTCGGCTGGTGATTTGATGAATGACTTTCCACATCAACATTTCTTGTAACTCCTTCCTCTCGTCACGGACCAGGGAGAGTTGTACGACTTGAGATCAACTCTATGTTGTAAAGTTGAGACAGGTAGTTTGTTACGGAAATGCAGACGGTCCAAATAGCGGTGTTTCTATATAATTTACCCTACCACTGTATGGAAATGATCACATTGCCAAACCTGTAAACAGTGTACCTACTTTGTATGGTCGCCATTTAAATGAAAAGTATAAAACGTATATACAATGTGTATAACACTGTTTTAAAATTGAATTAATACAACTTTAAATTGAATTCAATCCTTTTAATAAGGAACGTAAAATTGAAATTAAGTTACATCCAATTGACAAAAATACAGTAAAAATGCATTTAATGGATTGTTACCTTTCAAGAGTTACAACTTTTCTTACATGATTTATTAAATTATTTACTTATATTTTTTGTCATTCAATACAAATACGCAGTTTTTAAAACCCGGTGTATTATTCAAAGGACAATATTTATTGCTTTCGTATTGCTAAATTGAAATGTGTATGTGAACTTATCACGATCTCAAGCAATTGTAATGCAGTTTAGACATACATGTCTGTCATATATAACAATACAACAATGCATTTCATCTCTAATACTTACTCAGACAGTGTGAGAACTAATGGTTATTGAAGTGGAATGTGTATTGTATTGTATTGTATTGTATTGTATAGTATTGTATTGTATCAAGTTTAATTTTTTACAAGGATAATGTTTTATTGAAACAAAATACA